ACCACAATATCTTAACACAATAATTGCCATATAATTAACATATAAGGAAGAAATGTCAGATATGTCCCATTATGTAAAACAGGAAATTAAAAAAAAATACATTGACCAAGTTTTCATATATTTCTATCTTGTTCCACAAAGGACTTGAAGTAGTTCAGGAAATCCTTGTACAAGAATATGCCAAAAAGTGTGGAAGAAAACTAAGAAGACAATAGGAAAACAGATTTAATGTAGTAAATTAAATCACTAAGGAAGAGGAAGAAGCCACTGTTTAAAAAACAAAACAAAACAAAAAAAAACTGGAGAAGATATTAAAGAGTTTGTAACAATGCAACCTTAAATGATAGGGTTTGCTAAAGAAGAAAAATACAGCAAATAGACGAGAATATTGACATGCAATGTTGTCTGTTGCTTGTCATGATCCACACAATCAAAAGCCTTTGTGTAGTCAATAAAGCACAGGTGAACATCTTTCTGGTATTCTCTGCTTTCAGCCAAAATTTATCTGACATCAGCAGTCATATCCCTTGTTTCTCATCCTCCTCTGAATCTGGCTTAAACCTCTGGTAGTTCCCTGTCATTGTACTGTTGCAGACATTTTAAAATTATCTTTACCAAATTTTACTAGCAGGTGGTATTAATGATATTGTCTGGTGTCCGCATTCTGTTGGGTTACCTCTCTTTGGAATGAGACAAATATGGATCTCTTCCAATCAGTTGGCTTGATACAGATGAGTCAGTGCTTCAGTGCTGCATCAGCTTGTTGAAAGATTTTATTTTGCATTCCCCCAATTCCCGGAGCCTTCAGTGCACCATGGACTTGTTCCTTTAGTACCAGTAGCTCTTGAAGATATGCTGCCTCTTGAAATGGTTGAACATTGACCATTTCTTTTTGGTACAGTGACTATATTCCTTCTGTATCTTCTTTTCTGCATCATTAAATACTTTACCCCTAAAATCCTTCAGTATTTCAAGTCAGGGCTTGAATTTTTTCTTCAGTTTTTTCAGCTTGAGAAATGCTGAGTGTGTTCATCCATTTTGGTTTTTAACTCCAGATTTTTGCACATTTCATTATGATACTTGATTTTTTATTTCTCTGAAATTTTCTGTTGAACTCTTTTACCTCCTCGTTTCTTCCATTTGCTTTAGCATCTCTACGCTAGAGAGCAAGTTTCTGAGGCTCTTGCAGCATCCATTTTGTATGTTCCTTCTTTCTTGTCTTAATCACTTTCTGCTTTCTTCCAGTATGATGTTCTTGATGTAATCCCACCACTCTACGACTCTTCGGTCATCAATGTCTAATGCATCAAAGCTGTTCTTGAGAGAGGGTCTCTAGAATCAGGTGGGATATCTTCAAGGTCAAATTTCAGCCTTAGTAGACTGTGGTGCTGTGAGTTAATGCGCCAGACTGCAAAGCCGTTTGAACTGCAAGGTTGATGGTTCAAGCTCTCCATCTGCTCCTCGGAAACCCTATACAGGGTTGCCGTGGGTTGGAACCGACTCGATGGTACTTAACAACAGACTTTAAATTTTCTTTAGCCTGAACTTGCATATTAACAATTGTTGGTCTGTTCCACAGTCTGCCTCTGGCCTGAGTTGTGGCTGATAATATGAAGCTTTTCCACCTTCTCTTTCCATTTGTTGTTGTGAAGTACGAGCAAGTAAGTTCAGACTCATAGCAACCCTGTATAAGATTGCCAAGGAGTGACTTGGCAGCCATTTAATTAGCAGTCACTGCAGTGCTGATCCTACAGGGTCACACCAGCACTCCCTCTCTTCCCATAGATGAAGCCAATTTGATTCCATCTGATGAGGTTCATGTGTATTGTGATTATTGTTTAGTATCATTGAGATAGTTCCGACTCATAGCAACTCTGTACAGGGTTTCCAAGGAACAGCTGGTGAATTTCAACCACCAACCTTGCAGTTCAAACCGACCTTGTGACCGAGTGCTCATTCTACAGCACCACACCAGAATTCCATTGTCTTTTGTGTTGTTTAAAAAAGGTAGTTGCAATGAAGAAGTCATTGGTTTTGCAAAATTTTTACTTTTCATCTCCAGCATCATTTCTGTCACTAAAGCCTTATTTTCCAATTACTGATTCTTCCTCTGTTTCCAACCTTTGTGTTCTAAACACCAGTAATTATCAGTGCATCTTGATTGCATGTTTGATCAATTCCTGCTTGAAGACGTTGGGAGAATTCTTCAATTTCTTCATCACTGGCTTTAGTAGTTGCTGTGTACATTAGAATAGTGGTATTAACTGGTCTTTCTTTTAGGAGTATGGATATTATCCTATCACAGACAGCATTATACTTCAAGATATATTTTGAAATATTCTTTTTGATGTTGAACGTAACTTAGTTACTCTTCAATGTGTCAATTCTGCTGTAGTAAACCCTACAATTTTTAAATCAGGATGGTCAGTACTAATCCATTTCAGCTAATTTGTATTCCATTTCATTTTTGATAACTTCCAAATTTCCTAGAGTCATACTTTGTACACTGTTAAGGGATATTTACAGTTGTTTCTCTGCATTTTGAGTTGTGATCCATCAACAAATTAAGGTCCTGAAAGCATTACTCCATTTGAATCATCGTGGTCAACTCTACTTTGAGGAGGCAGCTCTTCCTCAGATTTTGAGTGCCTTCCAACCTGAGGGGCTCATCTTCCAGTATTACATCTGACAACATTCTGGTGCTTTTCATAATGTTTTAATATTTAATATTTTGGCATTATCTGACAGTGTTCCACTGCTGTTAGATAACATTCAGAAGTGGTCTGCCTCTCCTCCTTCCTAGTCTGTGTTAGTCTGGAAGCTCAGCTGAAACTTGTCCACTTTGGGTGACCCTGCTGTTGTTTTAAATATTGGTCAGTGTTACAGCAATATGCAAGCCACCACAGTACAACCTGACACAAGTGATACTTATTAGCTGTAGTAGCTGCCATCATCTCCATACACTATTCACTATGTTTGCGGCCTGTTGAGATGAGTGTGCTTTTTGGGTGGGGGTGTTGCAGATACCCAGTGTTGGATATCAGAGGTCTCAGTATAAGGGCCCTTACTGAAATACGCATACTTTTGTTGGTCATTGGGGAGCATCCCACCTCAGTGGATGGCCTTAAGTAGCCATTGGCTACTTTTGAACTGGAACTCACTCAATCGTTATGAACTGGCACTCACTCAATGGCACCTAACAACAACAAACACACACACACTCTTACACACTAATTTATATATCCAATCTCTAAATAATTTGCAACTCCTAAATGTTGGAACCATAGTTGTTTACATCAGACTTAAAACAGATTTGCAAAAATAGTAATTAAGTGCATTGTTGAAAAGTTCTTCTAAGGAACTCAAAGGTCCATTTGCATTCCCTGTTTTTCTTTTCTCATTTTGGCCCCATGAATAGCCTTTCTAGGCAGAGCTGTTAAATAATTTCCTGAAGATAATGCTTCTTTTTAAATGGCTCTTTTAGGTTGAAATAAATGTGATGGGTTTTATCTGATAGAAATTTGTAGAAATATCTGAGAAAATAAGATTTTTTGGTGTGTGGTATGAATATATCCTTTGATAAAGCAACAGGTTATTAACTATGAGCTTTTCCATTGTTTCCAGAAAAACAAGGCCAGGAAGTAACATTGTGAGGTATTTTGCCTTTACAGTATTCTGCCAAATCATTTTTCTTAATTATGTCCTATAGTTATTTTGTGTAAGGAAATATTTATTGCTTGACTCTTCAACATTTCAGGACAATTTTCAAAGACTGTAATGTTTCCTTTTCATTAGAGCATGCTGTTATTGTTAAGTGTCATCAAGTCGGTACCAATTCATGTTGTTGTTGTTGTTAAGTGCCTTCGAGTCGCTTCCGACCCATAGCGACCCTGTACAGGGTTTCCGAGGGTATAAATCCTTACGGGAGTAGAAAGCCTCATCTTTCTCCCGCGTAGTGACCACATATAGAGTTCCTGAGACTGTAAATCTTTGCAGGAGCAGAAAGACGCATCTTTTTCTCACAAAGCAGCTGGCGGACTTGAACCTTGGACCTTGTGGTTCACAGCCCAATGCTTATTGTATAGAGCCATCGTACTGCCATTAGAGCATACTAGGCTCTCAAAATTAAGGCAACCACACACTTTTAGTTTCCGTTTTTATTTTATAGGATTTAAGAAATCATCATAGGCAGTTTTTGTTTGTATTCCTTATTAAATCACTGTCGACTGCTAAGCGACTGTAGCAGCAGGAATGGCAATGAAGAAGAGTAGACGAGAGAGACATTACGAGTCAACAGAGAATGCTTCTTGTTCGCTGCATTCTGTGTTCTTGGTTCAAAGACAGTACTTATGGCATTCTAAACCCAACTGGTGTCCTGTGTGGTGCTATAGGATAAGCACTGGACTGCTAACCGCAAGGTTGGCAGATATTAGTATTTTGACATTTTCTATATGTTTTAGAGAAATTATTTTCTGCCTATTTTTCATTAGAAAATTTATTTTCCTTATAGTTACGATAGCTTACTGTATTCAAGTATTTATGAATATGACTCAGAGAATCAGACCATACCTACTTAATTTTGTTTGAAGTGTTTTCTCCTTTTAGAGATAAATGGGGAGCATTGGTGGTCTGGTGGTATTATTCTTGTCTCCCATACAGCTGGTTTAATTCCTGACCACCCATTTATCACTGGAAGCCTGCTTGTTGCTATGATGATGAGCAGGTTTCAGCAGAGCATCTGCCAATGAAAACCCTATGAATCACCATAGTGTGATGCCCAACCATTCCTGGGGATGGCATAGAACCGGACAGCATGTAATTCCATTGTGCCTGGGGTCAGTCACCTTGAGTTCAGGCACCATTTCAAAAGCAGTTACAATATCAGATAAATTATCTTCCCAGATTAAAGCCTGTATACATTGCTGTGGCAGAATTTGAAAAGGGAAATGGTTAGAAAAGGAGATCTGCACTTTGTACGGTATTTGGTGGCTGTTTTGTAGGAAGCAGTGCCACTAAAGCGCCCTTGCAATGATGTGAAACAAGAGCGGCAGCGAAAGTGGATTGAAGAGTTGAATAAGCAAATAGAGGAGGATCGGCAAAGAAAAACAGAGGAAAAAATTACGTATTTAAAGGTAACTTAGGAGACTTTATGTAGCATTAAGAAAATGGTTTTTTCATTTAGATTTCTTAAACCTTAAAATATTCTGAAATTACATGACGAGACCAGAGTATTCAAAGTATTCCACGTTTGTTTATATCATTCAGCTTTCATTAAATGGATTTAGCAAGTTTCATTTTGTATGGTGTTGTTGTCAAGTGCCATCAAGTTAATTCTGACTGATAGCTACCCTGTGTAGGTTTTTCAAGGAACATCTGGAAGTTTAAATAGCCAACTTGTATGCTACGGCACCACAGCTTCTTGTAATTGACTTTTTAGCAGTTTCCTTATTTCTCATGTTCTCCAACTTAGTTATATAAATGTATAAGGGAGCGTCGAAAAGTTCATGGAAAACTAGAATGAAAATGGGAAATTTCCACAAACTTTTTGAAATTATCTTGTATACAGAATCAAAACAGAATACAATTGTGGTTCTTACTATGCTTTATAGAGTCCATGAGTAGTGCAGTTAATGTACTTGGGTACTACCTGAAAGAATGAAGGCTTGAGTCCCAGGGGCACGTAGAAAGAAAGACCAAGCACTCTACCTTCAACAACTCAGCCATTGAAAACCCTTCTTTGGAACACAGATCTGCTCCGACTATCCAGTCAGAATCAACTTGATGGCAAGTGGTATTGGAATTTTGCTGTGTGGCGACTTTCAGAAACACATTTTGATGGTCATTTATGATTTTATATGTGAAAGAACAATTGTAAAAATTCTTATCAATCTTATTTGTCATTATTAGGGTGAGGAACATGACAGATGGGCAATGCATTTTGATTCTTTAAAGAATTATCCTAGTTCTCAGTCTCAACTGTCCTCTCGATCAACCCACAAACAACCAGAGTACTTCTGTGTCTCTCCTGACACTCAGGAGCTAGCTGACCTCAGCAGTGTTTATACGCCTACAAATGGAAGTCAGGTTGGAGCTACAGAGGAAGAGTGTGTAGCAAAGTCTATTAGGGATATGGCAATGACAAACAGTCCCAAAACAAAGTAAGTCCATCCTCATGCTCTGGTATTACTTGATGGGTGAAGAGAGTCTACATGCTATTCTTTTTATATTGTCTAATTAGTTTCTGTACTTGGTATTTTTCTGTGAAATAGAAATGAATATTAGGTGTGTTACAAGCAAAAATTGACCTACTCTTGGGATTTTAAATATCTAATGTATTAGTCTGTCTTGCCAGCTTTCTCCGCTCTATGACTGCTCTCTTGGACCCAGTTCAGATTGAGGAACGAGACAGGCGGCGACAAAAACAGTTAGAACATCAGGTATTACACTGCAAAATGTATTTCTCTTAATAAGTTCTGTTGATGGCCAAACTAAGTGGAAATTAAAATTTTGATAGAAATTTGTACACTAATCCTACTCACTCCTGTGATGAATCTAATCCTTACTCCAGCTGGCAACTTTAAAATTTTACTGTGCTAGGAACCAGTGATACTGTAAGAAACAGTTCTCTGCTTTCCTACTGAGGTCTTTAATACATAGACTGTGTATGTGCATTTGCAGTAGGTCTTACATTATTGTGTATTTTTTTTCATCAGTTTAGCTCTGAGCACTGTGGGTTAATGCGTCAGACTGCAAAGCCATTTTAACTACAAGGTTAGTGGTTCAGAGTCCCTAGCTACGCCACAGAAACCCTATACAGGATCGCTATGGGTCGGAACTGACTCGACGGCACTTAAGAACAACAACAAATGTTTGGGATGAGACTTAATTTTTTAGAAAGTGAAATTTATAGGGGACTAAAGTAAGGAGCTCTGGTAGCGTAGTGGTTACGAATCGGGCTGCGAACCTTAAGGCCAGCAGTTCAAAACTACCAGCCGCTCCACGGGAGAAAGATGAGGCTTTCTGCTCCCGTAAAGATTTACAGCCTCGGAAACCCTGTACAGGGTCGCTATGGGTCGGAACTGACTCGACGGCACTTAACAACAACAACAACAAAGTGCACTTAATGATGAAGAAATCTAACCAATAATGTAAGACAGAAGGCAAGGAGCAAAATGTTCTCGCTCACTTTTGGTCTGATTTGAAACGATTTGGAGGTCTGAATAGTTCTTTTAAAGTATTGATAAAGATAGTGGCTTGGTTATAATGTTACTTCTGATCAGTTCAGTGAGCAGACACTTAGAAAATACCTGTGATAAGCACTCAGATAATTTCTTCAGCTTTTCTGTGTCTGCCAGTCATCTTAGGGCTAAAGAAGTTGACAGATCAAGTGGGAGCTGGGAGAAATACATGGCAAACTTGGCATTTTAACTTTACTCGTATATAGAACCAGTACCTCTGGTAGCGTAGTGGTTATGAGTCGGGTTGCTACCCTCAAGGTTAGCAGTTTGAAACTGCCAGCAGTCCACAGGAGAAAGATAAAGCTTTCTGCTCCCGTGATGATTTAGAGCCTCAGAAACCCTATACAGAGTCACTGTGAGTCGGAACTGACTCCACGGCCCATAACTATCGCCACTGTATATGTAATATTTCCTATATGCTAATCAGTTTATTCTACAGTTGCCAAATAAATGCTTCATGTATTTTTCTGTGTGACAATGATTTATGTTTGTTTATGACTAGAAGGCCATCACTGCTCAGGTTGAAGAAAAGCGCAGGCGGAAGCAGCTAGAAGAAGAACAAAGAAAGAAAGAAGAAGAAGAGGAGGAGCGTCGGTTAGCACGGGAACGAGAAGAGATGCAGAAACAGTATGAAGAAGATATACTTAAGCAAAAACAAAAGGAAGTAGGTATTTACACCCTGACTAACATTTTAGAATAAAGTGAGATGTAGTATATTGCTTTTACGTTTTCAAATGAACAATAATCAGAAGTGGAACATCTGCATAATGTTTTGACACTCTGAAGCTATATGTGGAGGCATCAAAGCTTTTCATAAAGACCAGTAGGAAAGCCACAGAGACAGAAGTGAATGGCTTTCTTATTTCACATGATAATAGTTCACAAATCCTCTCCTGCCTGTTTTTATTTTCTGTTAAAAGAAACTTAAGATGAATTTTCACAGCACAAAGAAAAATTATCCATGTGCTTGATTTTGAAATAATTCTTCAGTTATGATTATTACATTAATAATAATTCTAGATCCCCTAAGAGGAATGGTAAGGAGCTCTGGTAGCATAGTGGCTATGAATCGGGCTGCTAATCTTATGATCAGCAGTTTGAAACTAGCAGCTGTTCTGTGGGAGAAAGATGAGGCTTTCTGCTCTTGTAAAGATTTACAGCCTCAGAAACCCCGTACAGGGTCGCTATGAGTTGGAAGCTACTCCACAGCACATAAAACAAACAAACAAACAGGAATGATAGTCTTTTCTCATATCCATTTATGAAAAGGAGCATGTATTTTTGCAGAGTAATTGGCTGGGCTTGTGACTGTCAGAGGTTTTCTCTATGCTGAATAACAGTCTTTAGAATAGATGCCTGGCTGTTGGGAGAACCCCTGTATTAAAATAGTGCCAGCGGTGTCACATGCCATGCTTGAGCTGACCTGCCAAAGGACAAGGATATCAGAGATTTAGAGTAGAGTATAGGGCGTTTCCTCTAGAGCTGGGGCGTGGGGAGAGCAACAAGAGCCTTTATTTTTTGCCTTTTTCGCATTTGTATGCTTTACTCCAGAAATGGCTGATAGAGGGGCTTGGTTCCGATTTTATTGACTAGCCTAAGTTAGCTACACAAAACACAGAGGCTGTGTGAGAAGCTGTGAAAAGCTCTAGTCAGTGCTGAGTGATGGGCATCTCCCAGGACCACTGGCACAGGTGCCACAAGACCAAGGCAAGAGCAAGCCCTACCACATGTAGCGGAAGCACAAGCTGGGATGCTCGACTACCAACACTAAGGTCAACCCCACCGCATGCACACAGTTTGGATTAGAAGAAGCAACAAGTACCAGACCGTCAGGCTGGATGTGGGGGACTTCTCCTCGGACTCTGAGTATTGTATTCAGAAAATAAGAATCATTGATATGCCTAAAATGCTTCAAGACCAAACCAGTGTGGCAGAGCATATGTGTTAGAGGGGGAGAAGCTGCGGTTCTAGCTGAGGAAAATCAAGGACCAGAAAGGCAAATAAATCCTCCTCCTTTTCATCAAAAAAAAAAAAAAGAAGCTGTATAAGTAAATAAATTTAAGTATTGCTTACTTGAACTACAAGATCTGACCACAAACTACGTTTGACCTTTTGACATCTGTTTGACATTAACGTTTTTAATCTTAGCAAAAGAATGCTGAAATTGGTCACTGGTTTTAGAAACTGAAAAGTTTATCAGTAAAAACTGGAAATGAATAAAAAGACTTAAATTTGAGATCTAATATTGTTATAAAAAATATGTTAGAAGGACCTAGCCACAGAGAGCTACAACAGAGAATTAAGTGTCCAGCTGCTATGAAGTCAGGGGAGTTGCACAAAAACACCGAAACTTGCAGATAGTACCCATTTGACCTACCTTCAATGGCTTGATGATCAGAACTCAACTAGAGGAAGATAAACAAATCTGATAAAGGAAACAAGTGTAAATTGCTACAATTCATTGAACTTGACCTATACTTATGGATGTAGTAGCTCAAAATAGCAACAGAGAGGGACGGAGTTTTCACATCAATATCAATGCTATCCCCTCGGTACACAGGGTTTATAGGGACAGGCATCTTAGACGTTGTCTACCTTAAATGGGAGTGGGGGGTGGTGGTGTAATAAAGGCATGAAGTGACTGTCTTACAAGTTTTCAAGAGGGAGTTTAGTTTTAGAGTATGCTGAAGAAGGGAGAATCCCCACTGAATAGTTTTCATCTAGTCTAGACAGTTCTGGTAAAAGGAGATGGGGATAAGGTTCTTATGATTCAACAGTAATTGTTATCATGACTAATTGCGATAGTCCCAACTGTAAAGGTAGAAGTTTTGTATGGAAAGTTATGGAATGAGGGCATTCACATAACATGCTCAGCATTGAATTTATCAAGTGCAACTCAGTCTACTTCCCATCTCTGCTCATGACACTTTGGAAAAGGATCTAAATTAGAGCCTAGCTTCTTTGAGGGCAGGGATCTGTCTATCAGTGGCTGTATCCATGGGCCCTACCATACCACCTATCCATGCTCATCAACAGCCTTCTGATGGTCTGGTGAAAGGAGCTGGGAATAAGGTTCTTGTGATTCAGTCGTGAGTAATTGTTATGACTAATTGTGACAGTCATCACTGTAAAGATAGAAGTTTTGTAACAAAAAGGAGGGAGTAGTTAATCTTACAGTCCAGGAACAGAGGATCCTAGGACCATCAAGGAAGAGCACAAGCAGAACATGGGATCCTGTCTAGAGAAGTAGTGACACTAGAGATGGAGACTGAGATGATGACATGGAGAGAGTGAGCAGCTCAGGACTCTAGACTCATGAAGAGAGAAAGGCTGTGTGCTGGCAGCCAGGAGGCAGGCTTGCAGAATGTGCCCTATAATTGTTTAAATGATTATATATCCCTGAGTGTTTTTGTGTACATTAAAATCAAAACAAACAGAGGTAATAGATGCAAATACTGTTGAATGATGATGCATGGAAGGGATGGTAATCACTGCAATGAAACAAAATACGATAAGATAGGTGCATAACCGATGTTCTCCCATGTAAACTATCCCTCAATTCACAAAAAAGCCTTAAAATAAGTAAATAAATAAATTCAGGATAAAAAACAAAACCACATTAGAATGTGAAGTCCAGAGTGTCAAAGAACCTTGCCTTGTTTATTGCTATAACCCCAGTGCTTAGAGCAGTGCCTGGCACACAATAGGAGCTAAGAACATACTTATTAGGAGGGAAAAGGTGAACTCAAAGTGCTTGATGTTTGTCTTTAATGGCTATGTGCACTTCTATTTTTGGTAGGAAATCATGACTCTCAAGACAAATGAACTGTTCCAGACAATGCAGAGAGCACAGGAGCTGGCACAGAGACTGAAACAAGAACAGAGAATTCGAGAGTTGGCTCAAAAAGGACATGACACTTCCAAATTGCTTAAAAATCTTGGTGGTAAGTACTAAACCAGAATTTTCTTTATTATACTACTTTTAAAAATCGTGTTACTAACTATTGCCTGTTTTTAATAACTTTAACACACTTAAATTTTTTCAAAATAATTTCACATCTTGAACTTACTTGTATTGTGTAACTCTGATTTGGTTCCAATTTAACAATTTACACAAATTGTTCATTGACAGTGGTTACATTTCTCACAGTGTGTCAACATTCTCTTGTTCCATTTGCGATGTTTTGTTTTCAATAATTTGTTTTCTTTGTCCCTTTATTCTTTCTTCCTTACTTAAGAGTATTTATTTAGTTAACTGTTTAGTCTCAAATAAATGATTTTTTTCTTATGGGGCACAGTATTCACTGGTGAGCCAGGTTAAGGTTTATGGAGGATATCAGTGGATCCTCTAATCTCAACTGGTCTAGTTAGTGTGGACTTTTTACGAAGTTGAGTTCTGTTTCACATTTTTCTCCCTTCTGTCTGGATCCGTATCTTGAACCCTATCAGAATGGTTGTTAGTGGTGGTAGCTGGTCACCATCTGATCTCAGGGTAGGCAAGGCTGTGTGTGGTTCGTGTAGACGGTTTCTTCTCTGAATCTTTTGTTTTCCTTTCTCTTTTGCTCCAGAAGAGAAGAGACCAATAGTCACATATTAGATGACTTCTAACAAGCCTTTAAGACTCAAGAATGTATAATTCAAACTCAGAAACAGAACATATGCTCTGTGAACTATTATTATGCCACTGACTGAGTTGTTTGAGGAGAAAATGGTCCTAAGAATTCAAACCCAGAAAACCAATCTGACAAGGTGTTTGCCTATACCTAAGAAGTATCCACAATGGTGCGCCCTGTGTGCTTTATTGCAGTTTTTTCATACAAGTAACATTCACCTTCAACATTTGTTTTCCAACCACACCCTCCTGGGAGGCATTTTCCAAACCTCTGCTATGCAAATTTCATTTTCATATGCAGTTTTAAAAAATTAGCGTGCTCTGGTAGCATAGTGGTTATGAATCGGGCTGCAAACCATAAGGTCAGCAGTTCGAAACTACCAGTGGTTCTGCGGGAGAAAGATGAGGCTATTTGCTCCTGTAAAGATTTACAGCCTCGGAAACCCTGTTCAGGGTCGCTATGGGTTGGAACCGACTCAATGGCACCTAACAGCAACAACAATTTACAAAATAACTCTTGGGGAAGGACAGGCTAGCAGGCAAATATAGAATATATGTATAAAAATGCAGTACGTTAATATATGCATATGTATGCATACACACACACATATACATATAGATTTTTTTTGTGGTTGTTTCAAAATAACGTATGTCCTTAAAACACAGCGGTGAAAACAGAAAAAAAAAATTATGTTGTGTTGCTGTGTGCTGTCAGGTCAGTTGCAATTTATAGCAATCCTGTATAGGGTTTCTGAGGACTGCTAGTGAGTTTAATCTGCTGACTTTGAGGTTGTTGTTGTTGTTAGGTGCCATCGAGTCAGTACCAACTCATAGCGACCCTATGCACAGCAGACCAAAACACTGCCCCATCTTGGGCCAACCTCACTACTGTTGCTACGCTTGAGTCCATCGATGCTGCCACCTGGCCACTCCATCTTGTTGGGGTCTTCCTCGTTTTCTCTGACACTCCACCTCATCAAACATGATATCCTTCTCCAGTAACTGCTCCATCCTGACAATGTGTCTGAAGTATGAGAGACAAAGTTTGGCCATCTTGGCCTCCAAGGAGCACTCTGGCTGCACGTCTTCCAAAATGGATCTACTGGTTCTTTTGGCAGCCCATGGCACTTTCAATATTCTCCTCCAACACCATAACTCAAATGCGTCAATTCTTCTACGGTCTTCCTTATTCACTTTCCAGCTTTCGCATGCATATGAGGTTATTGAAAATACCATGGGTTGGGTCAGGCGTACCTTAGTCAAGTTGACATGTTTGCTCTTCCACCCTTTAAAAAGGTCTTGTGCAGCAGATTTGCATAATGTACTATGTCATTTGATTTCTTGACTGCTGCTTCCTTGAGGGTTGATAGTTGATCCAAGATGAAGTCCTTGACAACTTCAATCTTTTCTCCATTGATAAGAATGCTGTTGATTGGTCCAGTGGTGAGGATTTTTGTTTCCTTTACATTGAGATGTAATCCATACCGAAGGCTGTGTTCTTTGATCTTCATCAGTAAATGTTTTAAGTTCTCTTCACTTTCAGCAAGCAAGGTTGTATCATCTGTGTATCGCAGGTTGTTAATGCCTGATGCCACATTTTTCTTCATAGAACCCAGCTGCTCGGATTATTTGTTCAGCATACAAGTTGAATAAGTATGGTGAACAAATAAACTTGTTGCACACCTTTCTTGATTTTAAACCATTCAGTGTTCCCATGTTCTGTTCGAACAGCTGCCTCTTGGTCCACGTACAGATTCCTCGTGAGTACAATTAAGTGTTCTGGAATACTCATACTTCACAGTATTGTCCATAGCTTGTCATGATCCACACAATCGAAAGCCTTTGCATAGTAAGTAAAGCACAGGTAAACATCTTTCTGATATTCTCTGCTTTCAGCCACGATCCATCGGACATCAGCAATGATATCCCTTGTTCCACGTCCTCTTCTGAATCCAGCTTGAACCTCTGGAAGTCCTCTGTCTATGTATGCTTGCAGCCATTTCTGTATTACCTTTAGTAAAACTTTACTCACATGGGATATCAAAGAGATTGTCCCATGATTTCCTCATTCCGTTGGGTCATCTCTCTTTGGAATTGGTACAAATACGGATCTCTTCCACTCACTTGGCCAGATAGTTGTCTTTCAAATTTCTTGGCAGAAATGAGTGAGTGCCTCCTGTGCCGCCTCACTTTCTTGAAAGATTTCAGTCTTTGTTCCATCAATTCCTGGTGCCTTGTTCTTTGCCAATTCCTTCAATGCA